CTTAAACAGAAAGATAGATGTCACTTTCTTTCCTTAACAAATTGACCAAGCTTCAGTTTACCAACAATAATTAATGCATGTCCTTGCCTGAAATTGTTCCCGTTCATTTACTACCCTGTTTAAAGACACTAGGCAACACTCAAATCGCCACCATGACTACACTTTAGAGGTTCGACAAGGCGCTGGATGCTGTGGCTCTTGCGAGTAACATCAGCGACCAGTAAGAAGGAGCAGGCTTGTCCGATGTCATGCGCCAACTGATACGGATTGGCTGAGTGTTATGTGCAATGCTAATCGCTTGATTTGACACCATGCCCCCAGAAGCATTTGCGCTTGCGCAAAAATACACTCCTAGATGCAATAAATGAAGGCGATTTGACAATATCAGTGATGTTTGCTTTAGATGTTTAAAAAGGAAGCATCGGAAGCGATACTGCTTCTAACAATAAATGGAACTAAGAATTTGCTGGGATTTAGACTATTGAAATAGGATCATCCATTTGGAAACGCCTTTTTTGATCAAAGGAAACAATATCCTGAAAAGTAAAGCTAACCAATACAGATCAAATGATTTTCTACTTAGAGCATAGTCAACTAAAGTGCATTGTCAAAAGCCTTTTTCAAGTACACTTCTATTTCAAGCGTACACCATTACATAACCCAGCATATAGGGGGACATTAGTGTCGTGTATTCAATGTTTTATTGTTTAATCACATTGAAAATTAAAATTTATGTTAAAACCTTCAGCGGAGGAAAATACGAGCCATAAGTGTGTGCGATTTTTTCAAACACATTCCAATTTGTACCATTGGTGCACAATATCACCTCAAGGCGAAATTTATATTCTTTAGGCTATTTTACCGCATCTCATGAAATTCGGCCTTAGCATCTCATACTTGAATATCTCAATTCCAGTTGGAAGGGGCAGTACACCTAACGACTACAAAATAATGTTCAATACTACCTAGTTAAGTTTCCTACATGATGCATTCTTGAAATACGTCTTTAACACTTATGAATGAATTGAAGAACCTCTGGTCTACTAGTGCGAAGGCAAAAGTACGATGATCGTGGTGGTGTCATTGGATTAGGGTTAATACTC